GCGCCCCCTTGGTCCCAGGTCGTGGGGGGGGGGGGCGACAGGATGGCACACGGGGCACAGGGCGGTCACAGCAAGGTCAGAACACGGGGAGAGGAGGGGGCGGGGGACGCTTCTGGGAGGGAGGACCCCAAAAGGCACACGGCATACGCACCGATGACCGAGCGCGGGACATAGCGCTGGTACGAAGTGATGACCGAGTTGAAGGGCGGGTTGATGGGGACCAAGGACGGGTGCGGGACCAGGACCGTGCCCTGCTCGTCGTCCAAATGCTCGACCATGGAGTCGCTGAGGTTGGCGTAATCCTGGCTGTGGGTGTAGACGGCGGGATTGCGCGAGTACGGAGTCCGGCGGAAGATTTCGCCGATCGACGAGGAGAAAGTCAGCACCGGCACCGGGAGGATGGGCCCGGGGATGTCGAGCTCCATGACCTCGTAGGCTTGCTGACGGGAGAGCATGCCGCCGGAGTTCTGGCACATGACCCGGGGGTAGCGGTTGGGGCTGCGGGGCGCGGCGGCCGCCGGGGCCGGGGCCCCGGTGGCTGCGGGCTGCAGGGCGCCCAGCGCATCGGCCGGGGCCAGTGTGGCGTCGGTGCTCGGCGGGGTGCAGCCATTGACGCTGGCTGGAGCTGCGGCCCCGGCGGGACGGGGGGCGGCCGCCGCGGCCGCCACCGCCGCACGGTCGGCGGCCGTATCCAGCGAGGGGGTGACCGAGTCGGTGGCCAGGTCGCCGGCCGGCCGGGCGGCCCCGGTGACCGGGGCCCCGGCAGCCTGCATGTCAGCCGGGGCGTCGAGCGAAGGCCCGGTGCCGGGAGCGCCGGCTGCCCCGCGCTGGGAGAAGTTCCAGGTCGGCTGGACATTGCGGTCAGGCACAATGGCCGACGAGGGGGTGAAAGTGAGGATAGACATCGGGGAAATGGTGATCAGGCCGGGCCGGGGGACAGAGGCGCGGGGAACTGGTCCTGGAGGAGAGAGAAATGCGCGAGGGGGGTGTACACGGGGGCTGGTTAGCGCGAGCCGCGAGTCGCTGGGGAGGGGGGGGGCGTTGTGTGGCGATGGGCTAGGGCTTGGGGCGCGCACTGATTCGGGTGAGGGGGGCAAAGAGAGCAGGAAACGGAAGCGGGCGTTTCTCAGCTGGGGGATTCTCAGCTCAGGGGGGAAGTGCTGTCATGAAAAGACGAGGCAGACGATCGAGACAGGGGAGAGGGGAAGGAGGGGCGAGGCAGGCGGGGGCGAGCGGGCGAGACCGTCGAAGGACACCGGCAGGGAGGCGGAGGAGAGTGGGAGGGGAGAGACAGAGGGAGACTGTGAGTGGTGGAGGATGTGGTGGGGGAGAGGGAGAAGGGATGTGGGTGCCCTTCACTTGAGTGGGAGAGGGAGGAGAGGCTCAGGGCGG